GTGCTGGGGGATTGAACCGCGGTCCCTGATGCTTTTGCTAAGCTTGTTCTAAGTAGGTGCTTTAGACCACTGAGCCATCTCTCCAGCCCAAGTGCCTACTTTAGACTTAAGAAAATGTCATGGGATAATTCTGATCTATATATATCTATATCTATATCTATTATCTATTTTTTTTTACAGGGTGTACATGGTCTCAGTAACCAGCTCAGGCTCATAGTCATCCTGTTTTCAGGCTCCAAGCGCTATTACAGGGATGAGATGCCAGGCCCAGTCTCAATCTCTGTCTCAGAACGCACTGGGGACGGGGCGGGCACAGCCGCATGGTGATTATAATATTTCAACAATAATCCATACCTAGGCTTGAGCCAAAGTTCAGGTCAAGAAAAACAAAAACCTGTAATATGGCAGCATAGGAACTTTTTTTTTTTTGGTGGACCTGGGGATTTAACTCAGGCCCTTGTGCTTGCCAGGGAAGGGCTTATCCTACTGAGCCATCTCCCTGGCCCCTGGAAACCCATTAAAAAAAAATAAAAATATTTCCATAATACTACAAAGCAGTGATAAAAACAGCATGGTACTGGCAAAAAACAGACATCAAAAATCAATGGAACAGTTCAGAAGAGGCAGACCAGAGAGAGAGCTCAGCAGACTAAAGCGTCTGGTTAGGCAAGCTCAGGGACTGAGGTTCCTGGCACCACATGCTGCGACAGCCCAGTCCCTAGGGAAGGCCGAGCAGACCAGGGTCCCACGCACGGTGACGCACACCTGTAATCCCAGAGCTGAGAAGGCTGAAAGGTGAGAGTCCCTGCTATGTAGTGAGCAACCAAATACATAACAAAAAAAAAGTAGAGATAACTCCAGACACACTCAGCTGCATTTATTTTTGACAAAGGTGTCAAACATATTCACTGGAAGATAGAGTCTTTAGTAAATGGCACTGGAAAAACTAGCTGTGCATTTGCCAAGGATTAAAGTGGGACTTGCATATTTCACTATACATTAAGCTAAATTAAGAAATGTATCTAAAAATCTAAATCTGCTTGAAGGTAGAATAAAACTTTTAAAAGACATTGGTGTAGACAAAGACTATAAGTAAAACCCTGATCACACAGGAACTATCACAAAGAATCATCAATTGGGATCTCATTAAAACAAAGAAAGACCTCCCAAACAGAAAGCCTCCTTCGGGCTGGAGAGATGGCTCAGTGGTCTAAAGCACCTACTTGGAACAAGCTTAGCAAAGCATCAGGGACCGCGGTTCAATCCCCCAGCACCACAT